CTATGCGCAATGCAATAACAAATAAATGAAATATGCACATGAAATCTACGACTCGATCTAACTCCACAAAAAAAAGTGGTTCCTAGGGCCCTAAACATATCGGCTGTTTCCCCCACATCACCACAACACTAGGAACGCCATGACCCTTGGCCGTCATAAAGATCCACCAAGTCCAGTTCCTTTATCAAACCCAGTCCGGGTTACTCCGTCAAGTAACGCCACGGCCATGGGAGCTACCAAGTACTCTCTCTGGGCCTTCTCTCGTCTAGGATGTCTCTCACCCGTATCTGCGAGGGACTCTCCTCTTAATTTGGAGTAACGCCGACACGCACCTACATGCCTTGGAAATTTACGAGGACATAAATTTCCGTATGCTACCTAAAGCATCAAATATACACCGGAGGTTCTATGGTTCTGATATAGACATGTAAGATAATCACTAAGTGATATATCCACACTAATAAGTCCCTCCAAAACACGTTAGCACAACAACACACAATCATATGTCTACCCAAATGAATGGAAAATAAACATAAAAAATGGTTTGAGGGTGATCTACTCATCACCACCCTCGGCCATGAACTCACACATTACGTATCCGGTTACGGCGCCTCGATCTCCTAGTTCCTGGATTCCGCGTCACCGTAGCTTCTCCTCACTAAACTAGCCTAACGCTCACTCACACTCTGATAGCCAATCTTAGATTCACTTTACTATGTAACAAAATCACTCGGAAAGACTAACTCTCTACTTACTCGCTACTTAGAAATTTCGGCAAGGTTTAGCTAAGATAAGAAAACTATGCAATACAACTAAGGAAGGGTTATATTTATAGGGAAAGTGGCATGATGTTAGCTTGAAAATCAAGCTACTCCAAGTGCAATTTGTCCACCGGAAGTTACCACTTGTCACCGCACTCCGCCATCTGTCGTCGCGACCAATGCATGTCCACCGTTCTCCTCCACTCCATTGGGCAGGCACCTTTCAATGATAAGGTGATGTCTAACAGCATTCTTGTCTCCTGACCAACCCTTTGAGCCAACGGAATTTCATGCAAAGGTTCCATGTTCCCTTGGTGCATGAAATGATTACATGAAACATCATGATTACACTTTTTCACATCATGATGGATTCTATGAATCTTCCCGAGCCAATCACGTATCACTCCAAGATTCTTCTTGTCTCGTTGATGTCTCCTAGCCATGCCTTGATCAGATTATAAAGCCTTGTCCTTTGTCTTGATCCGTTATGCTTTATACGTCCCGAACGGCTGTTTTTGCTCCTTTTGCCGATAAATTATTCCCGGATCTCAGAAAATTTACTAAAACCGTGAAATTAAATTCTGAGTACTCCTAAGGAATTGCCAAAGCTTCTCCAAGTGTTTTCCTAGCGGTGGCGCGTGCACTTCACGCGCAGTAGTTGGCCGCCATGTGTCCGTCGGTGGGTGGTCTGGGTATTATTCCGGTCTGCCTCCTCCAAGAAGTGTGGCATTCAACCAGAAACTTCCTAAGCCTTTCCCAAGCCTATCTCCAGTTGACGGGATCCTCCGATTCCTTACGGATTGGTCGTGTCGATCGGATTACCAAGATGTCGTACGGTCCGGTCTTATCTTCCATGTCGCCTTCACTTCTTCTCGATTTCTCTGAGTTTTGTCTCGATGGAAACTCATAACTTCGTCTTCGAAGCCTTGTGCGTCTCTCTTTTATCCTTGCCGCATAACTTGGTTGAAGAAGTCTCGATCTCCAAACATCAAATTGCGATAACTCGAGTTTTACTCGGGTTTTTCCGATTATGTCTCAAGCCATTTTCTTCTATTGAATTGATTTAGCTTGTCTTCGCTAAATTTCTCCTCAACTTTGGTTTCTCACCGCACTATGGTAGTCTCACCGCATCTTTAGGTCTTGATACGGGTTATTACACCGATACTCTCTTTCCACTAGGCAAGTGCTACCGTTACCAGAATGAGTGCCTACCGATACATGATCTGAACACTCGCATGCCCGTATCACAGCCCCTCGCCGTCCATGAAAAATTTCTTGGCTCGACCGTAGTCGAATGGAACTCGGCCATTGCCCTACACTCGTCGAGCCTCACATCCGGATTCCTTATCCGGATTGAGT